ATTTATAATAGAAAACTCTTTGGAAATTAGCTTAATCTATTTTTAAGTAAATACTTGTATTCTGTTAACTTGCTATTATGGTAGAAAATTTGACAAAACTAGAGGTCAGGAGGAAAGGATTTGACATATGATCTTTATATGATCTTTTAAAAGTGTACAAAATATACCCCCTTTATATATATGTATCCTTTTAAAATTTTTTATTCTAATTTGTTACATATGACATCAGAATGTATTACAATTCATATTAAACACATAGAGCACAATTTTTCAAATCTCTGGTTGTATACAAGGTATTTTCACATCATTTGCATCTTCATACATATGCTTAGGGTAATGATGTCCATCTCATTCCACCATCTTTTCCCACCCTTGCCCATTCCCTTCCCCTCCCTCTCCTTTGCCTTACTAGAGTTCATTTAATTTTCCCATGCTCCCCTTCCCAACCCCACTATGAATCAGCCTCCTTATATCAGAGAAAAAAATCCAGCATTTGGTCTTTGGGGATTGAATAACTTCATTTAGCATTATATACTCTAACTCCATCCATTTACCTGCAAATACCATGATTTTATTCTCTTGCTAAGTAATATTCCATTGGGTATATATACCACATTTTCTTTATCCATTCATCTACCTACGGGCATCTAGATTGGTTCCACAATTTAGCTATTGTGAATTGTGCTGCTATAAGCATTGATGTGGCTATGTCCCTGTAGTATGCTCTTTTTAAGTCCTTTGAGTATGGACTAAGGAGTGGGATAGCTGGGTTAAAGGGTGGTTCCATTCCCAGTTTTCCAAGGAATCTTCATACTATTTTCCATATTGGCTGCACCAGTTTGCAGTCCCAGCAGGAAAGTACAGAGTGTGCCTTTTTCCCCACATCCCACCAGCAATTATTGTTGTTTGTATTCTTAATAGCTGCCATTCTGACTGGAATGAAATGAAATCTTATAGTAGCTTTGATTTACATTTCTCTAGTTGCTAGAGATGTTGAACAGCTTTTCATACATTTGTTGATTGACTGTATATCATCTTCTGAGAAGTATCTGTTCATTTCTTTGGCCCATTTATTAATTGGGTTATTTGTGTTTTTTTTTTTTTTTTGGTGTTTAGCTTTTTGAGTTTTTTATATACCCTAGCGATTAGTGTTCTAACTGATGTGAGCGGGTAAAAATTTGCTCCCAAGATGTAGGCTCTCTATTCACTTCACTGGTTGTTTCTTTTGCTGATAAGAAGCTTTCTAGTTTGAATCTATCCCATTTATTCTTGATTTTAATTCTTGAGCTATAGAATCAACCTAACAAAAGAGGTGAGAAAACTCTACAACAAAAAAATACAGACGCTAAAGAAAGAAATTAAAGAGGACCTTAGAAGATAGAAAGATCTTCCTTGTTCTTGGATAGGCAGAATTAATATTGTCAAAATGACTATACTACCAAAAGCATTGTACAAATTTAATGAAATTTCAAACAAAATTCCAATGATATTCCTCCCAGAAATAGAAAAAATATTCATGAAATTCTTCTGGAAAAAAAAGAGGCCCAGAATAGCTAAAGCAATCCTTAGCAAGAAGAGTGAAGGAGATGGCATAACTATACCAGACCTTAAACAGGATCATATCTCAACATTGCATATAACTCAAGAATTAAAATCAAGAACTATGTTAAATAGGAGTGGTGACAGAGGGCATGTCTGTCTTGTTCCAGGTTTTAGAGGGAATGCTTTCAATTTCTCTCCATTTAGAATGATGTTTGCCTGGGGCTTAGCATCGATAGCCTTTACAATATTGAGATATGATCCTATTATCCCTAGTTTTTCTAGTGTTTTGAACATTAAGGGGTGCTGTATTTTGTTGAATGCTTTTTCTTCTACATTTATTGAGATGATCATATGATTCTTATACTTAAGTATATTGATGTGATAAATTACATTTATTGGGTTCCATGTTTTGAACCAACCTTGCATCCCTGGGATGAATCCTACTTTGTTGTGGTGCACTATC